ACAGAGGAATTTAAAGACATAACATATGAGCAAGAGCCTATGGTGATGAAGGAAGAAGTTCAAGCTGCTTTGAAAAAAATAGCAAAAAATAAGGCCCCAGGAACAGATGGTATACCAATTGAAGTATTTCAGATAACAGATGTTGCCCTGGATGTGCTCACCAAGTTGTGCCAAGAAATCAGTGACACTACTAGTGAAGATTTTTTTTTTCTAGTAAGTTCATAGTTTAAGAGCCTGCATACATACTTAACCAGAAACTAAGCTTACATTTCTGTAGTACTTTATTTCAAATGATCTTTTAGATGTGACCAAATGAAGGTTAAAGTTTGTTGGCTTCATAGCACAAACCTTGGGGCTGGCAGATCAAATCCACTCAGTTCTTTGTGCAGGGAAAGACAGGCATTCTCCTGCCCTAAAGATTTACAGCCTCAGGAACTTGATAGAGGGTCACTATGAAGGGACACCAGTGGTAGTGAGTGAAATGAGGCACTGCAGCTTCGCAAAGCAATACTTGACTCTAAGAGAATGAATCTACAATTTTAATGTATCTCACTGTCTCACATGCACATAACACAAAATATTTTTTTTAAGGGGAGGACAGTTGGGATTGGAAAGATAAAAGAACACTGTCCAACTTCAGTATTAACATGTTGATGTTTTCCAAAGCACAACAAAATAGATTAGATGGAGAAATGCCTGCAAACCGCTTTACTTAAAAGTTTCGTCACAGCTTCAGAGTGCTGGCTCGTTGGATAGATATTTATTCATCTGCCTCAACAAGTCCTTCAGCATGAATATACCTGGCAATGTCCCTGACTTTTATGGTACAAAGACACCTTTCCTTCGCGGTTATTTCCCAGGGTGACAGTCTTCCCTATACTGGTCATGAGGATCAGGCAGCCTATCTGCACTGTGTGACAGGCTTCCTAAAGTCTAAGGAAAGGATCCCCTTTCTAATCAGGGCCCCGAAACACTCAGAAAAACGGGCACGCGCTCCCTCTGGCAGGGAGCACGGTGTCCTCCCGGGCCCGGCCACGCCCACCCGGCCCCTGGCACCGAGGGCCGGCCCCCCTCCGCGGCTTCGTCTATGAGCCAGGAGGCGGTGAGACGCCCCCGCACCCCCGCTGGGGCAGTGCCCACAGGGTGTCTAGAGCTGCAGGCAAAGGGAAGGGCGGAGGACTGGCCGCGGAAGGCGTTCCTACAGCAGCCAGTCTCCAACCACCAGAAGCCGGGTCCTCGTACCTCCTCCGGGACCGAAAACTGCCGGTGCCGCCGCACCCGTCGCCGCCGCCGCTTGCTCATGAAGAGCCAGGGCTGCTGCCGCTGCTGCCGCCGCCTCATCTACGAGCACAGCCGGCTGTCTCGGCCTCTCCGGAGAGAGTGCTGGGCTCTGGCACGGCCTCCATTGCACCCGCCACTGGAGAAGCCACTGCAGCTCCAGCGCCCAGGCCGGTTCGGGGCGAGTCGCTTCTTATTACCGAGTAAGGTTCGGCCTGACCTCCGTGCCCCCTCCCCCAGCCCCCAGTAGCCAGACGGCGCAGCTACGCAGGCGTGAAGACGCCCTAAGCAAACGTGCGCGGGTCGGGTGTGTATATATACAGATTGGCCCAATGAGAACCAGGATCAGGTGTATGGGGCGGGTCCTTTCCAAGAGGGGCGGGGTTTCTGGTTTAAGAGGGTGGGTGGGGTTACCGGAAGTGGGCAGAGTTTGCACAAAACGCGGAGCGTTTTTTGCGAAAGTGTTTTTTTTCGGTTTATAGATCTGACCGTGTCAGATTCTTATCCACGAAGGAGTAAACTTCGTGAAGTAAATTATTATTAAATTTCTGACGTAAGTATATATTTAGGGGAAAAAATGGAATTACTATGTTAAATACGTTTTAATATTTAATACTGACCCCATTCCGCAAAAAAACCCCACGTAGGTTAAAGTGGTAAATACAATTTTTAGAATTGATAGTTTTTAGTCCCAGTGTTGTTGTTTTTATGTGCCATCGAGTCGTTTGCGACTCATAGCGACCCTATGTACAAGAGCCCTAAACACCGGTCTATCCTGTGCCAGCCTCGCTGTCTCAAACACACTCATTCCCACCACTCCACTCAAAAAATCGATCCATCTCTTCGACGGTCTTCCTCTCCTGCGCCGTCCCTCCACTCTATCAAACATGATGTCCCTCTCCAAGGACCAGCCCCTCCTTGCCACATGCCCAAAGTATGTCAGACAAAGCTTCAGAATCCTTGACTCCGAGGAGCATTCTGGCTTCACCCTCTCTAGGACAAACTTGTTTGTTCTCCTAGCAGTCCATGGTATATTCAACACTCTTCTCCAGCACCATAGCTCAAAGGCATCCATTTTCTTTCTGTCATCCCCATTCACTGTCTAACTCTGATGCATAGCACATAATTGCAAAGATTATAGCCTGGATCAGGCGCACCTTAGTCTCCAGCCTGACGTCATTGCTCTTCAGTAGTCTTGAGAGGTCCCTCACTTTCCCTTGCTAACTTTCCCGATGCAATTCGTCTCCTGATTTCCTAGCTGCTGTTACCAAGTGTTGACTGAGGAGCCAAGTAAACTAAAACACTTAACTATCTCAATCTCTTCACCATCCATACTGATGCTGCCAATTGGCCCAGTGGTGAGAATCTTTGTTTTCTTGATGTTGAGCTTCAATCCATATTGAGGACTGCAGTCCTTGACCTTCTGCAGCAAGCACTTCAGGTCCTCCTCAGTCCCAGTGTAGAATTGAAAGAAAACCTAAACCCAGTTTGGAGATAAGATTCTTCATAGCAAGGCCCTAAGTGGGAATTGAAGCTAGGTGTATTTCATGCCAGAATCTATTACTGCAGAAGATCAAGGACTGTACAACCTTCAATAAGGATTACATTTCTACATCAAGAAAACAGGGAACACTGATGGCGGACTGGAAGAGATTCATATTTGTTCCCATTACCAAGAAAAGTGATCCAACAGAATGTGGAAATTATCAAGCAATATTATTAATCTCATATGCAATCAAAATACTGTTGAAGATCATTTAAAGCTGACTAGAACAGTACAAAGACATAAGACTGCCAGAGGTTCAAGCTGGGATTAGAAGAGGCTGTGGCAGCAAGAATATCATTGCTGATGTCATATGTATCTTTGCTGAAAGCAAAAATTAGGAGAAGAACGTCTATTTGTCCCTTATTGACTATGCAAAGGGAGTTGACTCTGTGGATCATAACAAATTATGATTAACATTGAGAAGAATGGGAATCCCAGAACACTTAATTGTGCTCATGCTATACCTATACATAGAGCAAGAGGCTATTGTGCGAACAGAGCCAGGAAAACACTACATGGTTTAAAAATAAGAAAGATGTGTGTCAGGTTATATCCTTTCTCCATACCTATTCAGTCTGTATGCTGAGCAAATAATTTGAGAAGCTAGACTCTAAAGAATGTATCAGGATTGGAGGAAGACTCACCACAGATGATACAGCCTTGCTTGCTGAAGGTGAGGAGGACTTGAAGCACTTGCTGCAGAAGATCAAACACTGCAGCCTTCAGTATGGATTGCATCAACCTCAAGTTGTAACCTACTCATAGCTGACCATCCAGCCGGTTTTCATAGGTCGTAAATCGTACAGGAGTTGATTGCTCTTCTTTCTCTCCTGTACTATCTGATGGATTCAAACCATGTACCTTTTTTGTTAGCATTGCATCTGTGGAATCCATCTACTCTAATAATTTAAAAGGTCCATTGAGATCTTTAATGGAAATTTCTATCCTGATTCCTTTACACAACTCCAAAATTTGAAAGCTGAGTCACCGTGTTTTCTTTTAAAGATAACTTTATTAAGATATACTTTACTTATACTGGGTATATTTAAATTATATAATTTATTAGCTTTTAACATGTATGAACTGATGAAATAAAAGAAACAACTCAAAGTTTCTTTATGCCCCTTTGAAATTCTTCTATTCCTTCATGCCCCAGCATGTAAACAATCACTGATATAATTACAGATTTGTTTATAATGTCTAAAGTTTTATATAAATGGAATATTTATGTATAAATATATAAGAATATAAATGTATATTGCTTTTTTTGTTGTTGGTATCTGGTATCTTTTACTCAGTGTAATTCTTTTGAGATTCACACATTTTTCTGTGTATCAGTACTTCCTTTGTTTTTATTGCTGAGCATATTCCACTGTATGAATGCACCACAATTTATCTGGCCATCTACTGCTAGACACTTAGATTTTGTCCAGATTTATTAATAATAAAGCTGCTGTGAATATTTGTGTACAAGTTTTCATGTGAACATGTATTTCTTTATCTTTTGGATTAGTATTTAGGAGTAGAATAGCTGCATCAAGAAATTGCTGACTAGGTTTTTAGAGTGATTGAGTCATCCCTACCAATAATGTATGAGAATCCCAGTTCTCCTATATCTTCACTAATACTTGGTGTGGTCAATTCTTTTAATTTAACTATTCAGACCTCTCCAAAGTACTGAAGAGCAATGATGTCAGTCTGGAGACTAAGGTGTTCCTGACACAGTTCATGGTCTTTGCAATCACTTGCTATGCATCAGAGAACTGGACAATGACTAGGGGTGATAGAAGAATAATTGATGCCTTTGAGCTGTGGTGTTGGAGAAGAGTATTGAATATACCATGCACTGCAAATAGAATGAACAGGTTCATCGTGGAGAGAGTCAAGCCAGGCTGCTTCTTGAAGGCAAGAATTCTGAAGCTTTGTCTGACATACTTTGGACATTTTGCAAGGAGGGACTAGTCCTTGTTGAGGGATGTTATTCTTGGGAGGGTGGAGGGACAGCGCAGGAAAGGAAGACCCTTGATGTGATGGATTGATTCAGTGACTGAAGTAACTGGGTAAGCGTGTCAGAGACAATAAGATTGGCACAGGATAGAGCAGTTTAGGGCTGTTGTACATAGGGTTGTTATGAGTCGCAGGTGACTCGATGGCACATGACAACAACAAGAACAATAACATTTAGTGTATAGTGGTGTATCTTTGTCAATTTAATTTGCCTTTTTCCTTCTGACAATTGATATAGAACATATTTTCATATATTTATTAGCTATATAT